ACCCTAGACATTTTGTCTACTTTCTTATAACAAAAGTTTTTATCTATGTACAAGGCCACACCACCTCCCATCTTATTCTCTCTGTTTGTGCATACCAAGTCATAGCCATCAAGGTCAAAATCCATTCCCCTTACATTATTCATCCAAGTTTCAGAAATAGCAATTATATTAAAAGAATGTTTTAGACTACTAAGATAATGTTTTATACTCTGAAAGTTTGCGTATAAACTTCTGCTATTAAAGTGAATTAATGATAATTTGTTTTCAGTCTTGACATTGCTGTTAAACTGCTCATCCGTGTAATACTTGCAGTTATTTTGAGAGCTCTTTAAAAAGTTTTTTTTCAGGGTCAAAATCTTAGTCCGGTTCATGATAATGAATGTCAGTATTTCCAATAGTGTTCAGTTCCAGCTTCAGTCCCTCAAAAACTATTAACTTCTGTAACAAATCACTTGCTTCATTCCGTACATGGGTCATGCTTGTTGTTGTTGGTTCCAATGCCCATCTGCCATCGCAGATATCAATCTTCATACATCTGAGGGTCCAGCAACCCCTTCATATTCTCCTTGTCTCGGCATCCTTGGCGTGCTGGTCATGGGTCCTGGAGCCTGGTTCCGAGGTCTGGTTACTAGTCGATCATACCGCAGGAACGCGATGTCTCCCCTCTCCCTGGCCTCCCTTAACTTCGGCATCAACTCCCTTCTTCTCTTCCTCACAGACTCGGTGTAATCTTCATTTATATAAATGTTAGAACCTTTAAGCTTCTTTGCTTGTTGCAATATGTGTGCCTTATCTTTCCCTTTCATCACCGCCCTCAGACCACGATCAGAAGTGAGCCTGCTCCATCTCAATTTCCTGATGAATTTGCAGATTATTCTTCAGAATCTCCTTCACTTTACATTCCGCTTCCGTCCAGTTTTCTCCAGCTGTCTCCTTGATTCCCTCAAAGATCAAGTTTTTTCGCTTGGACTGTACTTCCAGATACTCCATTTTATCCATTATAGTTATTAAACTCTCACAAGTTTTGTAGACGTCATCCCTCGTTTCCTTGGTTTGTGTTTTCTGTTCACCCATGGCAGCTTTAATCACATCCACCTCTCGCTGGGTAAACTGCAAACTCGTTTTTATCTCCTGTATTTCTCTGGTCATGTCGTCGAATCTCTTGTTGTTTGTTTTATAATTAGTTGCACATGTTGGTTCATCAGCGCGATGTACATCTGTTTCTGCTGATCCACAATGTCTGTTACTTGTGCCGCTCTGTGATGCACTTCTTCTGCCTCCATATCCTCATTCGCTTCTGATTTATTAGCTCTTTTCCCTCTTGAAGGCATTTTAATAATTATAGAATTTGTTCAAAGACTTGAAAGTGTAGAAGATGTGAAAAACCATAGAACAGACAAGAGGAGCAGTAAAGACGTCTGCTCTCGCTTGCAACCCGGAAATTCCCTCAATCTTTAATTTATAAAGATCAGTATTCATCAGATATGAACTGCACAATTCACAGACAGTGGCCTGCTTTGTGCTGGACACAGTCCAGATCAACATGTTATGATTTGGTCTCATTACAGTCACATTCTCCTGCAGCACCCAAGCTCAAGTGCAAACAGGCTGTGGCATCTTGCGCCGGCAGACACTGTACAGATTCAACCCAGTTTTATCCCCTCAACTAATCTTAGAATTGGACCAAATTTCTCCCTGTTAGCTGTGGTTTGATGTGCAGTGTGTGATTGACCACAAATACTGAAGTTAGTTAATGTACTTGTGCCAGTACAAAGACAACAGCATAACAACACAGACAAGATATTGCCTTTTGTGCACACAACCAGTTGGGATGAGACTGATCATGCTCTAGGCAGCCCCACACTGTTGAAAGTAACATTGCTTTTGTCTCCGGTAACATGATCTTCAAGAATGCAGCCATTCTGTTTGAATACAACCATACTGGAATCATTAATAAACATGTAGTGGTTTAAGTTACATGTTAATATAGATTATGTAATAGAATAGTGTTTATTGGTTCACTATAAGTTCATGTGAGCTGAACAATGAGCTTATATAATTTGGCCAAGATGTTTCCTGTTTTTGGGTACATCTCAGGGTGTTGTCTCCTAAAACTGGAGACAGGAAGCTAAGTTCAGAAACTGACATAACAGCCTAAGGAATGCTGCTGATAAAAGAGTGAGGCTGAAGGGTTAGAGGAAGAGAGAGGATGAGAATGCTACCAGGACAGTAAACTGGGGGAACGCTGACTGACTGTGCACTGACGAACTGACTGACCCGGTGACGCTTTTGACCATCTTCTTATTTAATGCTTTATCTATCACATTGCAGGAGGAGAGTCTCTGTTCTCTGTTTTCCTAACTACAAGATTATGTGTTTAAATACTACTCTATTCAGAATAATTGTAATATTCAATGGTCCTTTAAATTGGGATGATTTGTCTGAATTAATTTAGTCTGCGTCGCACTCTAGCCACAACAAACCTTGGTGTTGTCTCTGCAGGTAGTAGCCTAAGGTGGGAGAATTTTAAATTTAATCTCCCATCTTGACTGTCCTCCAAGAATTTGTGCAAAGGGAAACCAAATGACTTGCTTTATTCTGACAGGTGGTGGAAGACTGCTGCGATCATTAACACTAACACCATTACTAACACTGATGTAAATAACTTGCTTTAAAGGTTTACAGGATACATTGAGGTTCAAGTTCAAAGTGTTTATTTGTCATATGCACAGTTAGGAAATGTGTTTCCCTGTACAATGAAATTCTTACTTTGCCGTCCACATGAATGCCACAAAATGCAAATGAAATATAAAGTAGATAAATAAATAACACAAAATCTAAGGCACTTTAAGCAGCAACAAATGC